TATTTTTTTTTTTTTTTTTTTTCTCCTCTTACTGTGTTGTGATATCTGACTGTTGAATTTTCAGGATTTTTGTTAGTCAGTTGACATACATTGTTAGTTTGAAACTGGCTATGGTGGGGATACCACGGGGGTTGGTGAATACGATAGATCAGACATGTCCAACCATGGGCTTGCGGTCCAGGAGAGCTAGTCATGCAGCCCCACAAAATCTTTTCACATCATGTGTTTTTGCTTTTTCCTTTCTTTTTTTTTTGAGTTGGAGTCTCACTCTGTCGACCAGACTAGAGTGCAGTGGCCGCTCCCGGCCACTGCAGCCTCGACGTGCTGGGCTCCGGCGATCCTTCCGCCTCAGCCTTCCAAGTAGCTGGAACTACAGGCGTGCTTTACCACGCCCGGCTAATTTTTTTATTTATTGTAGAGATGAGGTCTCGTCAAGTTGCCCTGGTGGGTCTCAAACCCATGGGCTCAGGCAATCCACTGTTGTTTTCTGTGTGTGTATTGGAGTCTCACTCTATTGCCCAGGCTGGAGTACAGTGGCACACTTATCGCCACTCCAGCACTCACCTGCTGGGCTCAGGCGATCCTTCCGCCTCAGCCTTCCAAGTAGCCAGAACTACAGGCATGCACTACCACGCCTGGCTAATTTTTTATTTACTTTAGAGACGAGGTCTCACCAAGTTGCCTCCAGCTCAGGCAATCCACTCACCTCGGCATCCTAAGGTGCTGGGATTACATATTGAGCCACCGAACCTGGCCTAGACACATATTCATTAACTTGAAAAGGTGTTTACCATAAACTACATTTTTTTAAGTAGATGATAAAATAGTGGGTACAACAATGGTCCTATTTTGGTTAAAACACATACACACACACACACACACACACACACACACACACACACACACAAAGTATCAGGAATGACAGCACTCATCTCTAGATGGCAGAATTACTATGGATTTTTACTTTCTTCTTTATCACTAAGTTACATGTTCTTATTTTTATAACAGTTGAGTACCATTTGCTAATAAAAACAAATAAAAATATAGAGTATATAAAATGTCTAACACT